TGATGAACCTATAGGGACAGCAAGTAGAATAAGGGTTTTGGGGGCGTTCAGTGGGGGGTAGGGGTGGAACAGACACAGTAGGGAGTGGGGTAGGGACAGGAGACGGTGTCAAGGAGTCCAGGAAGAAAAAAATAATGCTTGGAAACTGACCGTGGTAGCAGTTGTACAATTCTGCATAACGTGATTGAACTATGGAATGATATATGTATTAACTCCCAATTAATAATAAATCAGAAAATAGAACCAATACTTTAAAAAATAAAAAAGACTAAAAACTAAACTTATTGTTTTCTTTGAAGATAACATAGTCCTATGAACCCAGACATTGCTGGGTAATCCCCATCTGTTGATTTATCTTGCCCCCATCAACTAAAACCTCTAGGTATTTTTCCCAATTTCACCACTGTCCTAATACTGTATGTGTGTAACTAAAAACTAGTGGTTTGACTTAAATTCTATGTCTTTCAAGAGTAAAGACCTCACTGAGGATCTAATGCAACTGAGACCCTTCCACACAGAAAAAACACACACATAAAAATTCTAGCATATTATCTCACCACCTGGGAATCTGCACAATGCGGGTCTGATGCAGATTTGAAGTGAGGTCCAAGGTACTGAGTTTCTAACAAGCTCCAAGTTAGGCTAATGCTGTGAGTTCTTGGTTGGTACTGAGGAACTAGACCAGAGAGCCTCAAACTTTGCTCTACATTAGAATTCGGAAGCAATGTTTAAAAAATCCCAAGGCTCAGGACATACCTCATGCTAAATAAATCAGAATCTCTGAATACCAGGACCCCACTCTCAGTGCCATCAAGTCAATGCTGACTCTTATCGTAGGGAACCACTGTGGGTTTCTGAGACTTTAATTGCTTAGAGGTATAGAAAGTCCAGTCTTTCTCCCAAGGAGCTGTTGGTAGTTTCAAACTACTGACCATGAGGATCGCTGCCCAATGCATAACCACGACACTGCTAGGGCTCCTAAGAACCTAAAGCAATATTTTTAAAGTTCCCCAGGTAATTCTAAGGTATAGCCAGACTACATCAATGTTTCTCAGAAGGTAATGTGCACAGAATCTCTTAAAGAGCTTCCCCCGAGTTTCTGATTCAGAAAATCTGGGAGGTGGGTCTGAGACCAAACCTTTCTAACAAATTCCCAGGAAAGCCTTATGTTGATGCATACTATTGCTCTCCATTCTAATCTCTGACTATAATACTAGCTTAGAGTCTAAGTCAGTGCACCTCCTAACACAGTGTGTAACCTCTAAGCTGAAAGGGTATTCAGTGTCAATTACCAGGTATGGTCACTTAGCCAAATGAATCTGCGTCTCAATGCTCTGGTCCTTACAACCTGTTTCTCTGCCTTTTCATAGATATGCCTTGGTCTCTGTACACGTCTTACAAACATCTCTAAGGAAGAAATTAAGTTACTCTGATATGACCTGTTATTGGCCAACTTTTAGGACCTCCAGCTAATTGCTGTTTCTTACTCAAAGGGGCCTGCATACGGTCCCCAGTCACTGAAACCAGAGGCCAAAGCATCTAAAAGGTTACTGAAGTCAACCCCACCCATTGCAATATCTCCATCACTAATTTCTCTTTCCTTGAAATAATGACAGTGAGGGCTGGTGGTGTAGTAGTTATGCATTGGGCTGCGATCTACAAGGTCAGCAGTTTGAAATCACCAGCTGCTCAAGAGAAAGAAGAGGTTTCCCACTCCCATCAACAGTTACAGTCCTGGAAACTGGCAGAGGTAATTGTACTGTCCTACAGCATTGCCAGGAGTTGGCATCAACTTGATGGCAGTGAGTTTTTGAGTGAAAACATGAAAAAGACAGATGTTTGCTGTCAACATACCCAGTAAGATTTGTACAACACTTCATCTCCAAAAGTCCAGTTTGGTCAAGAGCGCAAGCATAAATATCAATGCAGTGACCATTTGCAGCAGTCCGATTAGCAAGCATCTCATAGTGCTGTGAAGACAGAAAAGCTACCATTATGAAAACACTATCACTGTACACTGAAAATAAAAACAAAGCCTTACTGCCATTTAGTCAATTCTGATTCATGGCAACCCAATTAGGCAAAGTAGAACTGCCCATTACTGTTCATGGCAGTAGAAAGCCTCATCTTTCTCCTGAAGAGCGGTTGGTGGCTTCGAACTGCTGGCCTCATGGTTGGCAGCCCACCATGTAGTCTTAAATAGAGAAATAGCCAAATAATTGATCCTAAAGGCCACCCATTTAACTACCTAAGGCCTAAGACTACAGATAGTAGTTTCAGAGCAGTGAAGATCTGAAAGACCACCGATGCAAGAGCATCTTGATAACCAAAAAGTATAGCCTCACCCAAGTACAGTGAACCCTCGTTTATCGCAGTTAATCGGTTCTAGACCCTACCGTGATAAATGAAATTCCGCGAAGTAGGATTCCTTATTTGTAAATCAAATATTTTCGTAGTTAGAGCATAGAGGACATGAAAAAACACCCTTTAGTCACCATTACACTCGTATTACCCAATTTATTAAATGAAAAAGGGAAAATAAAGTAAAACATTTTGGACGTTACAATTATCATTTATTATTTATTATATTTATGGCATCAAGCGTGTACAGTATGAGCCAATCAGTGGCAGTAATGACAGAGCATGCGCTGTTACGCAAAAACCGCGATAGAGTGAAGCCGCAGAAGTCGAAGCGCGAAGTGGCGAGGGTTCACTGTAGTTTGCATGACTCACGAGCAGCCTAAGTGTGGCACTAGTTACCATCTTATAATCTCTCTGGTTATACTTACCTTAGTAGCCTTTTTCATGAAGCGTGCGTTATCTTTCTCAATATCATGCCATGAACGAATAGGAGTCTTTAATTCATCTCCAACCACCATACCAGGTCCTTGGGTCGGGGGCCCTCCAGTGAACAGCATGATCCTGGCTCCTGTGTTTGGAAAAGTGCCCTGAAATCACAAATGGCATCATTTTAGATGTGTACAGTCCCATCCCAAGTATGGTTTCAGTTCCCTAAAAAAATATTACAAAGATGAATTTCCTCAGTTGTTCTTAATACTAATACCACAAGACTGGCATATATCTTCTTGGTTATTTTATTAATTAATTTCCCCTTGCCCTAGTTTCCCAATATTTCTCATGGAAACTTTTGATATTTTAAAAACACTAAAGAATTCCTTCGGTGCAGATAATAATAAATATGAAAGAATTTTTTTTTAATCAAGACCATCAATTGCTGTAAGGCGACAGCTTTCAAACAAAGCTAAAAAGTAAAAAAACCTGACAGCAAGTTTGTAGGTTTGACAGGTGCCAGTAAATTTGGAATTACCTCCAACAAGCCAACAGCAATGGACAATGCAACACCAGTGGATCGTAAAGGTCTTTTCCCCTGAGTTACTGGCCACGGGTCCCTTTGTAATTCCCCAAGAAGATCAGTGAGGTTCATGTCAATCTTGTGAACAGGCTGTAGAAATCTGCGCAATTTTGAATGGACACATCAGTACAGTTTAACAAAGTAATTTTGAATCACAGGTGACAGTTATTGGTCTTTAAAACAAGTATACAGAGTAGACAACCATTTGTAATTTGTTTCCTTCTAAATTAATCTCCAACTACACACATAAAAGACTTCAAAGCAATTTTAGAGTAAAATGATTATGTCTAATATTCAGCAATTTATATTTATAGCATATAAAATAAAATTCTAGAGAAGCTAATCAGTGTAATTTTAATGAGCAAAGGGATACCTAAGGGTAAAATCAATCCAAGTATGGCTCATCCAAGCCCAGAGGGCACAGCAATGAAAGGGGCTGCTGACTCCAAGGTTGGTGGTTCAAACCCACCAGCTGCTCCATGGAGAAAGATGTTCACAGTCAGCCTCCATAGTTTTACAGCCTAGGGAATCCTATGGGGCAGTTCCATTCTGTCCTCTACCGCATCATTATGAGTCAGAATTAACTCAATGGCAATAGGTTTGATGGCTATTTATGAGGCAACTTCATTCTAAAGATTTGATCTGTGCTCCTATTGAGCCTTAAAAGAAACACAGGTTTCTTACCAGAGTTAAGAGGTTGTTCCCAGCATATTTGAGGGTGTGCTTTATTTGCTGGCTTACCACCCTCACCAGGACAGACTAGGTAAAATTACTGCCTAGCCTTAGATTTTCTGGAGAACAATCCAAAAGGAGTTTTAATCTTTCCAGTTTTACTGAAGGATAAGCAGGTATGCAAGAGGGGAATAAATGAATGCAGTGATCTGAAACTCTTTTGGTTTCATGCAACACTACTACGTGTTGTCAGAGTTGTGGCCGACTCTTAATGTCCCTATAGGGCAGGGTAGAACGGCCCCTGTGAGTTTCTGAGAATGAAACAATAGGAGTAGAAAACCTCGTTTTTCTCCTGAGGAATGGCTGGTAGTTTAGAGTTGCTCATCTTGCGGTAAGCAGCCCAACTCAACCACTATGTCACCAGAGTTCCTCATGCAACATTAGCAGGAAAAGTATTCTGAGCTAATCTTTCATATACGCATGCATGTGTGTATAATATCTCGGTTATAAATTAAACACATGTATTGATTTGGTATGTACATTATAAGCTTAAGTGTTTAATTTTTCTCTAAAAGTAAGGAAATAAAATTTCTCATCTTTTTCTTTCCTCATCCAATGGACTATCCTGTATGTCCCATCTAATATATGGTGTATTATATGTCAGGCCTCACCTGCTTGAAACAAAGGGGTGTTCCTGTGGCTGAGTGGGTCTTGCTTGCTGCATGAGCATGGCTGGCTTACTAAGGCCCAGCATATCCTAGAAAACAAAAGTCACTCATTTTGCATAACATTAAAAGTAAAAACAAGTGGCTAATTAATCTGAAAGAAAAGACCACATTCCTATTTGTTACAAACCTGTATCTGTTTTGCAGTTAAATCCTTGGTTCCCCGAAAGACATAACTCTTGGAGATTCCTTCGCAGCTTAGCTCGTGAACCTGTACCATCCTCCCAAATGTGATCAGACCCACCAGAGCATCTGGAGGAAGGAGACTCAAGGACATCTGCAAGGACTCTTTGAGGGCTTGAAGGTCATCTTCCTCCAGGCATGTGTCAACCACATAGAGGAAGATCAGAGGGGACTGAGCACCTCGCTTTATGAAACAAAAAAAGTAAAACAGTCTGTATATGAATACACACAACCAGCACTTTTAAAATAATACGTTATAAAAATGGCTTGTCTATATTTATAAGTAAGACAAGGATTCCTGAGAGAGGGATAAGGACATCCACACAAATCTCATTTACCTTATTATACAACGTAGGTTCTATCAAGACAAACTAAACATGTGACACAGGTCTGTATTCAACAATTTATTAAACATTGTGACTGTGTATCATGTGCCAGACACTTGTCGGTACTTCATTCAATATACCTGTGAACACAAAGAACAAAGGTCCCTGCTTGTCCTAAGGAGCTAGGTTTCTGGATAGACAGATATCTGATAGATAATAAACACGACAAACAAGTAATTTATACAGTATCTTAGAAGGTATAAGATAAGTGCTGAGAGGAGGAACTTGGTCACCCTTAGCCACACTCTCTAAACAAAACAAAAAAATTTTTAAGGCAGAAAACAAACAATTTTGAGTTCAGAACCTAAGGCAGACATAGATAGCCTGGCAGTTCAGAGGGAGGAAACCTAAGCAAAAAGCCCCCAAAAGAAAATGTATGCTCTACTGCTCCAATGGGATGCCAAGGAATAAACACTCCCCCATGCTTTGGTCCCATAACATCAGAGGGGAATAGATGAGCAGGCAACTCTTCCCCAAACTGCACTGTGCTGAGCGAATCCACCCACAGTGCTTGGGTACGTAGCACTAAAAGAGGGGAAAGGAGAGCAAATACCTCAATTCCCCCACCTGCCAGGACTCTGAGCAAACCCTCCCCCCAGTACTAGGGTCCACAATACCAGACAAAAGGAAAAGGAGAAATGACAGCTTACGGCCCACACCCACTTGGACAACAAGATCTATTTCAGAGGACTGAGACTCCTCCCCCAGCATTTCTTGGTGGGATGATCCCATCCTGTGGGATGGTGAGATTGGATGAACCTGAATCTGCAAAGGGTACACTTGGTTGAACCAGTGCAAGGAAAATTAAGAGTGGGAGAACCTAAAAATTATCAGTTGTCCACAGCCCCAAGGCTTAAAGGGGTACTGTGAGAAAAAAATAATTTAGAGACCATGGGTAGGCTTTAACAATCAAATTCAACAAAGACGACTCATGTGGATAGGAAAAGTATCTAGGATATTCTCTTCTCTCAAAGTCTTCATAACTGTTTGGGTCATTGTCCTACACCTTCTGAAAAACAGATACTGACCTTGACCTTGAAACCCAGACCTTTACAGGAGGTAGTATTTAATTAACATTTTCCTGTCATCAACCCCTACTTGGAATAGACTATTGCACATGACCCTGTCACCCTTGAGTTGTCAAGAGCTACAGCAAGTACACAGGGATTATTATTCATCTTATTATCACTGGAACATCAGACACAAATATAAAAACAACACAATCTTAATTTTTCAAAAACAACAGCTAATTTCAGTGCACATAAAACAAGAAAATATGGTACAAACAAGTAGCATCAAGCACAAAAAGATCTAGATCAGATGAAGACAGAGCATTAGAGCTCTGCATGAAGGATTTAGAACAGTGGTTCTTAACCTTCCTAATGCTGAGACCCTTTAATATAGTTCCTCATGTTGTGGTGACCCCCCCAACCATAAAATTATTTTCGTTGTTGATTCCTAACTGTAATTTTGGTACTGTTATGAATCAGGCAACCCCTGTGAAAGGGTTGTTCAACGCTCAAAGGGGTCGCAACCCACAGGTTTAGATGATTTAGATGAATAATCTTCAGCTGCTATAAACAGATAGAAGAAAACCTAGACAGAAATACAGGAAAACACACACACACACACACACACAGAAAAGAAAGGAACTCAGGAAAGCACAAAAATAATCTAACAAAATTAATTAACAGCTAGCAATAATTCAAACTTCTTTGATAACATTCCAGAACAAAGATGAAAAATGTAACCAGAGAAAAAAGTCCAAAAAAATTTTAGTGAACTTCCCTCACATCATAACAGAAAATAACTATTCAAGAAGCCCAAAGAACCTCACACAGAATTGACCCTAAAGAAAATCATCCTATCAGAGTCAAACTTTTTTTTCACAGTCAAACTTTCTCATATCAAAGAAGCCTGAGAGAAACTAGAAAAAAAAAAATCACACAAACCAATTAAAACAAACCTAGATTTCTCAAAAGAACTCTCACAGGCAAGAAGGCGATGGAATGCGATATATCGAAAACCTTGAAATTAAAAAACTGCACACCAAAAAGTCAATATCCAACAAAATTACTATTCAAATACGAGGAAGGGGAAAAAAGGCATTTTCAGACAAGGAAAAATTGAAAGAATTTTAAAAAACAATCAGGCTTACAAAAAATTGTATAAGGACTTCTCAATAGCAGCAGCCAGCAACCTAAGAGCAAGACATTATTGTTGAGAAATCATCCTCTTTGAGCAATACACAAAGTGAAACAAAAGATTCAAAATAGGGATTCAGTGGTAACAATTCGCAATAATGACAACAATGAAATCATAGAGGGAAAGAGACAAAAATGACAGCAATAAAATCACAAAGATCAATAACATTGAATGTAAATAGACTAGACTCACCAGTTAAAGAGGCAGAAACTTGCAGTACAGATAACTAGACATCACCCACTAAATTACAAGAAACATATCTCAAATACAAAAACAAAAGCAGAGTCGCTTCTCGGCCTTTTGGCTAAGATCAAGTGTAGTAAAAACAAGAGCAGATTAAAAAATCACATTTTTCCATCACAGGATGGAAAAATTATATATTAATATAATAGTAGTCAAAAGATGGTAGGATGAGCAATATCTAACAAAATAGATGGCAAAATAAAATCCATCATGAGAGACAAAGGCCATTACATGATTAAAGTCACAATCAAACAAGACAATCATAATAAACATCTACATATCTACTAGTGAAAGACCCTCAAAATACATTAATCAACAGAGAGAAAAAGATGACTGGACAGCACTACAATAATAGTAGGATATTTCAATACCACTCTTGAGGAAAGACTGATGGATCAACTGGAAAGAAAATCAACCAAGATACAACAACACTAAAAAATGCAATTAATCAACTTGATCTCTTAAGAGATATAAAGGCATGAGGTGGATGGCTTACAACTTTCATAGGTGGGAGAATATATTCATAGGATTATAGGATGAAGGTGTTGGTATTACTTAACTGCAATTGTTAGACATAGGATATTTTTGTTTTGCTCATTTACAAAATGTTATGTTTAAATGAGGGTGGCACATGTTGAATTGTATATATTTTAGGTTTTGGGTTTTTTTGTGTGTGTGTATTTTAGTTTTATCCTATTAGGTACAGATATTATTTTATTATTGTTTGAAATTATATATGGCTAAAGAGTTATGTGAAAATGTTAAATTGATAAGGGTGGTCTGTGGCAGTAACCTATCTGGTTTCAATTTAAGGACTGAGAGTAGGGGTGGAGTCTAGGCTGTCAATCTGGACATAGCCAAGGAAACTTTGTGTGGACATGGCCTTCTCCTGAGAATTCTGGGAAATCTGGGACTTCCTCCTTGAAGGGGGAAGACACTTCTCTCTCTCTGCCACTCCCTGAGCGACATTGCAACTGACAAGCCACATGGATGCAACCAGACCTCTGAAGCTGGAGAAGCCACAAAGGGCCCTGCTAGCACTGAGATGCTTACAACACCACTGGACCCAAAGACTTTCTAGCCCCTAGCTTGTGACTGTCCTACATTTAGCTTCATTGTATGTTTCCTGAGTCTGAAGAGGACTTTAAAGATTGGTAACGGACATATGAGCTGATATCAGACTTAAGGCTCTGGACTGGATTGGGATGTTTTCTCAATGTTCAATTCCTCTCGTATATAAAACTTTTTTATACACATATGTGTGTCCCTGGATTTGTTTCTCTAGTCTACCCAGACTAACAGAGAGGTTAAATACGAGTCTAAGGTTTTTATACTCAGCAACTAGTAAACCATCTAATGCGGCTGTGGGAGGGCAGAGGAACGCTTGCTGCCATGGAGTCTACTCTGACGCATATAGGATCACCTGTAGGACCGAGTAGAACTGCCCTGCTCTGTGTCTCAGACTGCAGTTCCTTACAGGAGTAGAACATCTCAGCTTTGTCCCCACTTTTGGAGCCCTGGTAGCATACTGGTTACTCACTGGGCTGCAGTCTGCAGGGTCAGCAGTTTAAAATCACCAGTTGCTGTGTGTGACCTCCTCCCTGGGGGACAGACAACCGAAAAGTGGATGAAGGGAGACGTCGGACAGGGCAAGATATGACAAAATA